AAGAACCACATGTTTGACTTACAGATCCTTTGTTGATTGTATAGGTAGATGACAGGGATAGGGAAAAGGGGGCTTCTTTGAAAGAAGACAGTGACCCTACTAATGCTTCTAAACGGAGAAAGATCAAGCGAGACCAGACTTCTTTAGAAGCCGGGGAATATGCACCTTCTGCTCCACAGCCTCCCTCCCATGGATCCGGCAGCTCACAATTGTCTGACGTGCGAGAAAGAGAAAGGAAAGGGTTAATTTCACAACATCGTACCTCGCACGCTGATGACCTTCCTAGGACGCATGGCAAGGACACGGCAAGCAAATCAAGTCGTCGAGAGTCTGATCAGTGAGTTTGATAAAGAATAATTTCTTGTTCAAATATGCATTGCACAGTTTCTAATAAATATCTTTTCCACTTTGTGATTTGCTCTTTTTTCTGTTTTCTTGGTTTGTTGGATTCCGTTGACAAAATCAAAGTCATAACATCTTAGCTCTGATGATTACATTCTCCCAGAAGTTCCAATGTTCTACACAGAAACTGCAATGCTATAGGATGTTATTTTTCCTTCCAAATAAGGCTATGTAAAAATAACTAATAATTTGAACTTCACAGAAATAAAAAACAATTCTCCCCTCAGTCGTGAAAAAGTGGCGCGTGTGTTCTGTGTTGTATTTTATGGAATCATACTAATGTTTGGACATCAATATTGTGCATTTGAATTTTATATGAATAGATTCATGTTGCGTGATATTATAATTCAGAGAGTTTGCAAATATAGTACAATAAAAGTCAAGGGTCAAAGTTACATTATGGGACCTCGGACGCACAGCATCATTATGTTACTATGTTAGGGAGAGAAAAGGAGCCAGGGCAGTCCCAACCCATAGTTTCTTTGAGCATTTTCTAGAGGGGGGAGAGAGAGAGGGTAATAAGGAACTAACCTTCGCATCCCATGGTTACTATAGTAGTTTCTATATGGAAAAGAATTTAATGACCACATGCATCATCACAAAAAGGAGTTGATCAGCTACAACTAGCATCCATGTAGCCATCATACAAATTCGCATGCCTATATGTACAGTTAGGTGATGCTCAACTATACACATGAGACAAATATAGCAACCAAGTACCAACTATGCACATGATACTCTGCAGGTACATACAATAATGTACACATCTGCAAATAATCAACTGCAGATAACAATAAGGTGAAAAATTATACCCAGAACCATACCATTCTGAGCTGTTGGGCGGCACATCACCGTCATCCATCGGCTGCAGTAGCACTTGATGCTTTGCGACTGAGCCAGAAGAGATATGAGCACCGACGGAGGCAACAGAGGTAGGCGCACCTGCTGCTTGCACTAGTGCGTCGTCTGGAGCTAGAAGACTTCTTCGATCTTCTCTCTTATTGCACACCTCCGTTTTCCTATTGATCCATTCTTGCAGAGATTAATGATGAGAAGCAGATGGAGCAGGATCGATTGGGGATGAATATAGCATATCTAGGTCATGCGGGTAGAGCTGGGCATTGGTTGGGGATCAATTGGGCAGAAGAGGGTCGGATGGAGCCAGCCCTCTCTGCCCAGGATAACGGCACAGAAGAGGATCGATGGGAGGATGATGGTGCGCGCTCACGGATGGCTCGGGCGAGGGGGGCAACAGCGGCCACGCCGGCCAGTATAAAAGCGCATGGGATTCTGCTGCGGTGCGAAATGAAGCCGATGGAAATGACATGGGCACCCCAACGCACCCGCACGATGGGTGTTTTCTTGGTCCTTTGGAGCCCGAGCCTAAACGTTTTCTCAGGGGAGAAACAATTACTACCTCTCTTCTTTAATTGTTCTTCCACATCAGCAAAACGCCTACGTGACAAGACAATCAATGCTATAGAAACTACCATGGACACTGGGTTGGGACTGCCCTAAGAAGACCCAAACAAGGCCAATAGGGCAAGTTCTAGTACAGAAGAATTGCGGAAAGAATAAAAACTACGACCAACGATCCATATCAAACTCCAACGGCCAAATGCTCTCGAGACCTTTGGCCCTTGCCATACACCATAAAAGGGCCTCATTTCTAATGTTCTGTAAGATCATATTAAGACTAGGTGAGGCCCCCTCAAAAACACAACCATTTCTATGTTTCCAAATCCACCAAACAACTAACTCAACTTTGATGCCTAGCCTGGCGCCACCATTCAGTAAAGATAGTGTCATTTGGCCCCGGTGCTTGCTGCTGCAGACCAACCTAGCAAACCACGCTTGTATCACTTCATCCAAAATCTTGCAGACACAGCATGTATGCCCCCATCTTCGTCAATCAAACTTTATCTAATCTGGATCCTCTAGAATTACATATACACGATCTAATGCAACCTAGTTGTCTTGACATTGCCCTGCTGAAAAGTTGCTACAGTCCTATGGCGGAAGATGGAAATGATTTCTTAGGCTGTGATGAGACCTTGATGAACTTCCGACTAAAATGATGTATCTGTAGCCAAATGTTGGTTGTAGTAGTTTTGGTATATAATAGATCACCAAATGATTAGCGTATAGAAAATTGCCCAATGTTCCATCTACCATGACAATGCCGAGTGGGGCCTTGTCTGGTGGTAACCGTATGTTGTGCATGATTGGTGGTGTTTTTGGCAAGCCCTGGCTTTGTCGTTACTAGGTTCGAAAGCAAATCCCCCCTGCAACAGCATGGTTTACTTATTTGTGAAGTTCCCTTAAATTGTGATGATCCTTTGTAACAACAACAACAACAAAGCCTTTAAGTCCCAAACAAGTTGGGGTAGCTAATATTAATCGCATCCTACCTCATATGTTTGAATTGTTTTCAATAAATGCATTACGTTTATGCAAATGAAAGGCAAATATAACATCAAATTAGTAAGCCAGATTTTATTTTCCTCCTATACTTTTGTAGTCATAAAAGAATTACTTTTGTAGTAATAAAAGAATTACTTTTGTAGTATTATGGTTTCTGGTGCTATTCACTTGCACGTGTACATTATTTACTATTTAACGACATTTGAATTTTGTTTTAAGAGCAATTCCATTTATTATGCTTGTGGTTCTGTTTCTTGAACGAACCTAACTTGGTTTAACTGCAGAATGCACGAGAGGGAATGGGAAGAGGAAAAGCGACCAAGAACTGAAGCAAAAAGGAAGCATCGGAAATAGCTGATCAATGTTGACATGGATTCAGTTGAGCCTCATAAATTTTCTCCGAGCACAGTAGTGAATGCACTTGAATCTCATGTTTTCCTGTAGTGAGAAAACATGTTTCAGCATAGCTAAGCAGATTGTTTCATAGTGTACTGCGCCAGTTATGGGATGTGGAGCTTAATATGACGAGCTCACCGATGCGGATTTAACATATGGAGATGAGCCATGTTTAGGTTCATACATTTTGTGCTGTAAACAATGTGGAATGTGGCATAGTGAATTGTACTGTGAACATAGATGAGTGGCTCACCATCCGGGTATTTTGTATTTTAGTACTAACTGCTAACATGTTTGGTGTAGGAAGCATCACCATTTTTTGCGTTGTGTAGGAATAATGTTAGGGATGCAGCATAATTGAAATGTACATATTGCGGCCAGAAATGTTGCTAACTATTTACCTGTTCGGGTTCATTAAAGTTTGCTCAGAGTTGGTTGTGCTGGTGTTCTGGTTATTGTTCTTGTGAATCTTGTCGTGGTTGTGAGCATGTTCCATGTTGGCATTGTTGGGACTAATCATGCAAGGATGACAAGCTCGCCTTCGATCCTGGCCTCTTCCTGTGTTTTGATTAGGCTGTGTGCCTGTGTCTCGAGCGCACGCAGAAACTTCACTGGGATTTTATAAAGAGATTTTTTATTTTAAAAAAATAAAGAGATTTTATCGATGCTGTTGGATTTATGTAGGAATCAGGGAAGATTCCTGTTCCTAGTGAGCCTTAGGTTACCATTGCCGGTGAACTGTGACCTACTTGCTGATTGTATAACTTTTCAGGCAAGCTTTAAGAGACCGGAAATTGTAGCAGAGCCAGGTTACAAAACTTGCATTTGCTTTTATTTATTTACCTGGCCTTAGCTTGTAATTGCGTGCTTGCAGATCTCTCTCTTAAATTTCTTCTAAATTGTCCAAAAAATCTTGCGCATTACGAATAACTGTAGTGGTTTCGGCCCTGATCGTTTTGCTGAAATTTGGCTTATGCTGATGTTTATGCTGATTTGTTGTGAAAGAAAAACACTGTTCTTTTGCTGAAAAGTACTTTAGAAATTGCTCAAGGAAAGGGTCGTTACGACACAAGGAAAGGGGGGAAATGCTAACGGCAGCGGATTCTTGTACGGTTTCATCTGCAGAAATTGCTTAGATCGCTTGCGATTCGTTACAACACAAGGAAAGGGGGACAGTGCAGCCAGCATATTCTTGTACGGTCATAACAGAAGCTGACGTAGTATTGATTTTCTTTTCCTTCTCCAAGTTCGAATAGATACAGCACAGATTTCAGACCATGTGAACTCAAAATTTATATAAAGGAAGAAAAAGGCATAATGAACTGGCAAAGCGTTCAGATCATGTGAACTCAAAATTCTCAGTATATAAAGGAAGAAAAAACCATAATGAACTCCTGGCAAAGCGATGCGTATATGTTGACAAGTTCTTCGTTCGTTCTCTTGCTGATCTGATGGCCCAGACAGATCACTTCCAGCCCTTCTTCTTATGCTGTTTAGCTGTTGATCAGCACGGTTCCATGGCGACACCAAGAAAATCGACCCATTTGAGTAGTTAGTAAGTACGAAGAGACAGAAAGAACAAAAGCATCGCAGAGAGACAATCAGAGACGAATGACGAAATGGTGATCAATTACCCAGTCTCCTCTTCGCCTCGGATTTGGCGAAGAACTCCGCCCACTCGTCCGTAAGCACGAACACCGGCTCCTCCTCCTCGTTCACCTCCGCTTCCTCCGCGTGCAGCAGCTCCGGCTCGGGATCGAAATCCTCCACGCCTTCTCTTACGGCGGCGCGGGGCTGCGCCGGCTGCCAGGGCGCCGTGCTCGGGTAGGTGTTGGGGAAGAGCACGGGAGCCGGGTGCCGTTCCTGGTTGTCGTGGAGGTGGGCCGGCGGCGCCGGAGCGAGCAGGTGGGCGGCGTGGTGGTGGTGGTGGTGATGGCAGCAGCAGAGGTGGATGTGGACGTGGTGGTGGTGGTGAGGTGGAGGTGCACCAGGTGGTGGTGGCGGCGGGGAAGGCCCGGCTCTGGGTGCGGCGGATTCATGGCGTTTGAATCCTGCGAAGAGGTAAGGGTGGTCGCCGAGTCGGCGGCTCTGGTGCTTGGTAGTGGACTAGTGGTAGAACCGTAGAACACTCTATTTTATTTGAGGCGGTGTATCATGAGTTATTTTTCAAATCTGGTAGAATAATTCTGTTACTCAAAAAAGTAAGCTAGTAAGAAATGAGGTTAAAACAAAATATCTGTCCGTCTATTTAATTTTTAAAACCAAACACCCTATAATTTACTCCTATCATCCCATGAAGTAATACAGAGGCTAAAGCTTTAAAGTTTGAATCGAACAAATTCAGTTCTGTTATGCTCTGCACATGTTACGAACAATCTATATACAGAACTGAACACCCTTTGGTGCTAATCTAGACTCGCAGCATGTTTTGTTATTTCATATGGCCTCTACAGAATGCAGAATTCTGAAAACGTAGGAATAGATTGGCTGTCCTATGAGTATGTTTAAGAGCTTCTTAAAAAATAACTAATAAATTATTAATTATTATGTTAAGATGGCAACATGCGTTCGGAAGGTTGCTTCAGAGGTGCTTGAGTGACCAAAGGGAGCGGATGCGACTCGAAAGACATTTGATGGTGGAATGAAGATGTGCAAAATGCTATTAAGGAAAAGAAGGAGTGTTATAAGCGATTGTATCATGACAGGTGTGTAAATAACATAGAGAAGTACAAGGTGGCAAATAAAACTGCAAAACGAGCGGTGAGTGAGGCAAAGGGGCGGGCCTATGAGGACCTTTACCGATGTTTGGGTATGAAGAAAGGAGAGAATGATATTTATAGGATGGCTAGGGCTCGCGAAGGAAGACAAGGGACTTCACCCAAGTCAAGTGCATAAAGGATAAGAGAGGAGCAGCTCTTGGTGAAAGAGGATGAGATCGGACATAGATGGCAAGAGTATTTTGATAAATTGTTCAATTGTGAGAACGAGAACACCACCGTTCAGCTGGACGACTCGTTTGATAACACTAACAGACGCTTTGTGCGAAGGATTCAAAAATCGAAGGTCCGAGAAGACTTGAAAAGGATGAAATGGGGCAAAGCGATGAGCCCTGATGGTATCCCAATCAAGATGTGGAGATGTCTCGGAGATATAGCTATAATATGGCTAACCAAGATGTTCAACAATATCTTTCGATCGAACAAGATGCCTAAGGAATGTAGAAGAATCATAAAATTGGTATCAATCTATCGAAAAGAAGACCCTAAAGGAAGATATCCAAAAGTTGGCGAAAATTATTAGGGAATTAAGTTGATGAGCCACACTATGAGACCGCCGAGGAGAGAGTCAGTCAGCAGCGCCTCGCGAAGAAGTGCCGATTCGATTCACAGCGAGGCCGACGCAGATATCAACAAACCAATTTGGTTTCATATCCGGAAGGTCAACCACTCCGAAGCAATCTTCTTAATAAGACAAGGTTATGGATCGCGTCAACCTAATAACCTCCCGCCATTAGAGAGCGAGAAGAAGGACCTCCACTTGATTTTCATTGACTTAGAGAAGGCTTATGACAAGATACCAAAAATGTTATGTGGTGGTCTTTGGACAAACATAAAGTCCCATCAAAGCACGTGACCCTCATCAAGGACATGTACAACAATATTGTGACTAGTGTTCGAACAAAGGTCTCGATGGTAACATCCGATTTACTTCATTTGCACCGATTAAAATTGGACTTCATCAAGGAGTAGACGGACAACGGTTAAGTCACCTTTTACCATCTCTTTGCGTTGGTAATGGATGAGGTTACCGGGAACATACAAGGGATATTCTTGGTGTATACGTTCACTTTGATGATGTAGTGTTAGTGAACGAAAGCCACGATGGTCGCCGAAGGAAGTAAATAGGAAACTAGAGTTATGGATGGTAGACCCTTGAGTCTAAAGATTTGATTGAGCGGAACTAAAACCGAATACATGAGATGCAACTTTGGGCTGAGTTATAAAAGGAGGAGGAGATGTGAGTTTGAAAGGTCAAGTAGTGCATAAGAATGTGACGAATACCTTTGTAACCCCTACTACGGGATCGATAAGAAATATAAGAACATAGAGATGGAGATATTGATCGAACCAAGATAAACGTTAGTCATAGAATCACCATCCGGAATTGGGAGCACGCAAAGACAAATTCACTAGTCGGTTTAGGAGGTGGATCATAGTGGTATCAATCTACAAGAACAAGGGAGATACAAAGTTGTACCATTCTTTGTGAAAAGAGAGGTACTTCATGAAAGGCTAAAAGGCAAGTTCTATAGACCAATTTGGCGATTAGACCGTAAGCAATCTTCTATGTTGTATGTAGCAGAATGTTAGCCTATAAAGATTCCACATGTTCAACAACTAAGTGTTGACAAGATACAAAAAAATATTATGTGGTCTGCGATGGATTTGTGGTCACACAAGAATGGATCAAGAACATTACAACGATGTTGTGATACATGATTTGAACAAAGAGATAGAGGTAGCACCAATTGAAGAAAAGCTTGTTTAACATTGGTTGAGGTGGTTTGAGGTTGCCATGAACATAAAGGAGACCTTGGTGTAGACATGATGTAGTGCATCGTGGAGTTCGAAAGCTAGGAAGCTAATAATATAGAGGAGAGGAGAGAGGAAAACCAAAATTAACATGGAGGTTGCAATAAAAAGATATGAGATGCAAAAGCTTGTGATATACGGAGGAGAGATCTATGTTTGAATGAGAATACTTGGAAAGGTATCTAGCTATTGACTACAGAGATCTGGAACCATGACTTGGGCTCATAGTCAAAGGGTTTCAATTCTAGCGACAAACTTACGCCATTCTCTGTGACAAGAGGGTACCACAAAAACTTATTTGGATTGAACGGTGATTAGAAGGCTATGTTGTATGTTGTTGGCCTATAAAGATTCGACAAGTTCAAATAAAATTAATAGAGCTTTATTGTTTTCTGTATGTAATATTTTTGGACAGCTTGTACTGCCCGCCCACACGGTCGAGTTGAGAACTCGAGATAGGTGAACCTGAGTCCAGACTGGTTGAGAGCCTGATGCTTGTCCAAAGAAGACCTCCGAGGCACCGGTGCATCGCAACGAATAATATTTTTTTAATAACGTTAAATAGAGGAAAACCGAAATTGATATGGGGGTCAATGGTTTATATTTAAAAAACCAAGCCCTATGTTTAGTTACCCCAAAATCCAAACTTTGATACTATGCAAAAAGAAGATTCTCGTCACGTTCAAACTACCGAACTTGTACATGAAAGGCTATGTTGTTGTTAAATGTCGACAAGTAAATAAAACTAATTGCTTTATTGTTTTTAGTTGTAATATTTTTGACAGCGAACATTTTAAATCTAATTAGTCAACGATTAAACAATTATTACTAAATACAAACGAAATAATACAGTACGCTACAGTGGAAGCAAATTCCGGCGGCGCCAACTTCGCCAGCCAACTAAACGGGGCCCAACCTGTTGCTGTTGCTGACTTGCTGGAGTGAGCAGTCAACGATGGCACCCCTGACCCTGCAGCTTTGGCGGACAATGGCCGCATCGGGAGCCGTGTCTTCCAAATTGTATAGTGAGTTCTTTAGATGCCATAACATTTTAAATTCTATATGGTTGGAAACTACAGGAACATTTTAAATTGTATGGATGGAAACTACATGAACTACGCCTGGATAGAATGTACGAAAAGAGTAGAGAAAAAAACGAATTCAATGATCAATGAGAGTGGCACAAGAAATTTTTTCTGTAATGTTCAATCTCTTCATAGAATTTTGGAAGATCAACATAATGTTCATCTCTTAGTAGAGTTTTTTCCCCAAAATTGCCGAGTACCAAATCATCATTCCATATGAATTTTATAGGATTTGTTGAAACCTAATCATTCGTTAGAAAGAGTAGCATAGCAAAAATTTCTATAATATTCCAATCCTCTAACTTCATCTATTTCTCATTTGTTCCAAAGAGAGCCTTAAAATTGCCTAAACCTGACAATGGTTTGGTTTAAGTTAAATTAGGCCTTAGTCCTCTATGAATGCTAGGTTATTGTAGCACGACCGCCTCTACTTTGAGAAAAGTTCAAGAGGGGCATTCGGTGTCAATGACACTAAGTATACCATAAAACTAAGGATTAAACACATATGCCACCATTAACCATGGTAGCCAAGAAAATTTTCAAGAAGTAATTTCCAGCACCTGAAAAACAAAACGAATTCCAAATCGCAAATACTTAATACTCCTGTACACATTGCAAGAGATAGCCACCTAAGGTCATGTGTGCAAACTATGTATCCACTCAAATGGAAATACATGCGACTTGCATTTGCACTTTTCAATGCAACCAAAACCGATAGGCAATCCTGCTGCGCAGTATGCATCTAGGAGTTCCAACAATTCAACATAACACAAATAGAAAACATGATAAGGCTTCACATAAGCCCCATGCCAGGTCCTAAAGTTCATTATTTCAAATATCTTTAATGCACTTAATAGCCATCACCATAGCTTTGGTTGCCACCACCATGCCACCACCTCCGAAACTGCCACCGCCATAGCCACCACCACCTCGGTTCCCTGCAGGTCTGTCGGTAGCGATGTTGACACGTACCGGCCGCCCATCAATTTCCTGCGAGTAACATGAATGCAATATACAATGACATCTTAAAAGAGTGCACAATTTGTCAAATAAAAACTTCAAGGAACACTATAGCACAAATCAAAATGAATTCCTCTGCATGGTACTACTTGAAACAGAGCATACGAAACAGACCATATGAATTACATGTTTGACTCACCTTGCCATCCATTCCAGATATAGCTGCATTGGCATCATCACTGTTGGTGTAGTTAACAAAGCCAAAGCCTCTTGACCTCCCAGTATCCCTGTCCGTGATCACTCGCGCTGCAACATGAATATTTGCCATTTCAAAACAGAATGTGAACCACAACACAACAGCAGAGGAAAATGAATCAATATTATTCAGCCAGCCACTAACAC